TGTTACACCAATAATGTCAGAAAGATGTGTAACATTTTAAAGTTGGAATGAGGTTTCTGAGTGAAAGTATGTAGGAACAGTTAGCAGTTGAAGTCGCATGAAGATTGTTCGAGTCTGAAGAGTTTCTCCATTGACTTCCATGTTAAAAATCTGATGAATTATGGGATGTATCTCTGGAATTATGAAAGTTATGAATGAGAAAAGTAATAGCCATCGATTCCCGACCGAGCTGAACGTTTTGATGTTCGAACAGAGTTTCTACGATGTTGAATGTGGGAGCAGAAGAAGCGCAAAATAACACGGCGGCATCAGCATTCCCACTAAATTATGATATTGAATATTGCTATTGGCCACCTTTTACTTTTTCTCCCAACACCTTCATTGAATGCCGGAGTATGATTTTTCATAACCATGTTTACTTGTATTTGAGCTTGTATTATCTGCTTTTGGCCAATTTCATTTTCATTTTGACTGAATAGAAAGATGGGTGTATGAATTTTCACACCACATGGGATTTAAGATTATGTTACCTGCGTTTCAGTGGGTGTTTTTAGGGCTGCCGTTGACGTGTTGATGTGCTTCAGGCAAATTTAGCAGCTGTTAGAAAAATATCACTCGTCACCGGCTTGGTCTCCAATATCAGGATACATGTATTCACNCCGGGGGAAATTTAAATTGCATGAAGATTGCTCAAGTCTGAAGAGTTTCTCCAGAGATACATCCCATAATTCATCAAATTTTTAACATGGAAGTCAATGGAGAAACTCTTCAGACTTGAGCAATCTTCATGCAATTTAAATTTCCCCCGGTTTCACTTGAAGCCAGGTGTGCAAAAACAGCTGGAAAAAGAATCAAGCTCACTGATGTCATTGTTTGTAGCCTTTATTTAACCAGGTGAAAGCCCCTTGAGATCAAAAGATCTCTTTTTCAAGGGTGACCTGCAGATGTCATCTTACTTTAAGGCCCATTGAGTACTCACCCTTTCTCCTGATTCAACTTGTGTTTCTCCCTTTGTGCAGTAAGCTTGCTCGTAAGTGGAACCGTTGGTTACGGCGTAAATGCAGAGTGTATGTGAAGTCCAACCTGTTCTACCGGTGGGTGATCATGCTGGTCTTCCTTAACACAATGGCCATCGCAACGGAGCACCACAAACAGTCCCAGAGGCTCACCAACTGGCAAGGTCTGAGCACACACACCTTACACAGGGATACTCAACGTGCTTTGCAAAATGACAGGGGCCAGGGGCAAGTGTTCACAGTGTATGTCAAATACTGAATGACATTGTATTTACACGGCACAAGGACCAATTCCAATCTTGCCCTTTACCCTCTCCCTACCCTCTTACACTTCCATATCCTTCTCTAGTGTCTTGTCTCGTCACTACTTAAAGGTAGGGTAGGTAAGAATGGAGAAACCAGCTCGAGTGCGCTAGAATTTTAAAACTACGCAGCCGAAAAAAATCTACCCCTCCCACTTCAGACTTCCTTACAGAGCCCCTCCTCCAACACACACGAACGCACACATGACCAATGAGGGCACGAGATAAGTTTGAGCACAGATGGAAGGCTGACAGGCAGGTAGGCCATGCAGTTATTTTAGCCGGGCCGGCTCGTACTTTTTAAAGCGCCATGGCTTCCACAGATGACATTTTTTTAATGTATTTATTGTCAAAGCATTTAATATATTCATTGCTATCGGGATGTTAAGAGCATTCCATGGAATATAACAAAAAGTGTTTCTGAAGTGTATTACCTACCCCACCTTTAACTTTTAAAAATAAAACAGGAAACATACTATACACTAACCCAAGACCATGACACAATATGAAATCTGAAGTACAGACTGAGGCATATGATTTATTAATTAGACAGCACATCATTCCCATAATTGCAGAGAGAAGAGCTTTGAGACAGAGATGCCGTAACAGAACTTCTTCTGGTTGAAGCAAGGAAATATCAAACAATAAACTTTGGAAGCTCCCAGAGACAGCATAGACCTCACAGCAGATAACAGGGAAGGGGGTGGAAACAGCAAAGACTGTGACATGTTAATGCTATGTAAATATAATACATCAATTAGTATCAATTTGTTTTCATAGTCAACACATTACTATAATTTACCACCAAATATGGGTACAATTATGATTTTTTATGCTCTAAATGTTCCACGATGTAAAGTAGTGACACAATCTGTGAATAACTCTTTCTCTTTATATCTCTCTTGACACTGCCTTTCTCTTCATACTGTGGCCAAACCATCACCAGACAATTCCAATAAAGTACTGCTGTCCATGTTTGCGCTGGAGATGTTCATGAAGATGTACGCTCTGGGTTTGCCCTCTTACTTCATGTCTCTCTTCAACCGCTTTGACTGCTTTGTGGTGTCCACTGGCATCCTGGAGCTGATCCTGGTCCACATGGGCGTCATGTCAGTGATGGGCATCTCTGTGCTGCGCTGCATACGCCTGCTCCGCCTGCTCAAAGTCTCCCGGTGAGGGAAAAGCCAGTGTGTCTTCATCAGTATATAATCAAGAGAATGTTTAGGACAAAACCTTTTTATTGACAAATGTAGTTTCAGACACAGAGCAGATGTAAATATAATCCCAATGCCTTATTGAAGTGATGCTGTGTGCCCTAGATACTGGACGTCTCTCAGTAATCTGGTGGCTTCCCTCTTGAACTCGGTCCGTTCCATCGCCTGCTTGCTGCTGCTCCTCTTCCTTTTCATCGTCATCTTCTCCCTGCTGGGTATGCAGGTGTTTGGAGGGAAGTTTAACTTTCCCAACCAAGCCAAGCCCCGCAGCACTTTTGACAGCTTCCCTCAAGCCCTCATTACTGTGTTCCAGGTACAATCAGAACCAATAATATCACAACCAATAATAAAACTGATGAGAAAAATAATTTATTAAAAAAAAGGTTGAAATATTTGGGAAATATTTCTCACTTATTTGCAGTAAAATAACTCTTGATAAATGTTTGATTGCATGTGTTTCAGATCCTGACAGGAGAGGACTGGAATGCTGTAATGTACGATGGCATTAACGCTCATGGAGGACCCACCATGCCTGGCATCTTAGTCAGCATCTACTTCATCATCCTCTTTGTCTGTGGAAATTGTATCCTTTTAGTGTGTGTGTGTGTGTGTGTGTGTGTGTGTGTGTGTGTGTGTGTGTGTGTGTGTGTGTGTTTGTGTGTGTGCTCATGTGCGCGTGTGTCTTTAGCAACAGTAAACACTTACCATGAGAACTGCAGGTCAATTGGAAAATACTGCAAAAATCTTTGACTGTCTTTCAGTCATTCTTCTAAATGTCTTCCTGGCCATTGCTGTTGATAATTTGGCGGAGGCTGAGTCTCTGACTCTGGCACAGAAAGAGAAGGCGGAGGAAAAAGAACGTAAGAAAGCACTAAGGTAAGTCTTCCTAAATATTACAAATGTATCAAAGCCCATATTTTTATGTTATATTCTTACTTGCAATTTTCCCCATATAAATGAGCTTTAGCACATTTACACATTATGTTACAACGGGATTTGTGTGGTGGCCAAATAATAACAGTAATTTTTTTTTACATTTTGTTAGCGCTTTTACAGGTGCTCAAAGTCGCTTGACAGAGATAGTGAAAAGAAAAGAACAACAAATAAATATGGTTAAAGTCAAATGAAAATCAAGTAATACATAGCATAGTGAGTTCCAGAGGGAGGGGGCAGCGACGGAGAAGGCTCTGTCCCCCCAGGTCCGGTGATTGATGCGGGTGGGGATGGATAGGAGGTTGGCTTCTGATAAGCAGCGGGAAGGGGTGTGGTGGTGCAGCAGGTCTGTGAGGTAGGGGGGGGCCTGGTTGTTGAGGGCTTACATGTCTTATATATATATATATATATATATATATATATATATAT